ACCCTGCCTTGCGGTGGGCAGGTCTCCCCTGACCCACTTCCCCGGGAGCAGACCCCCCCCAGACCCGCCCATTTTTGCTTCCCCCCCTTCTTCTCGTTAACCCGGAAAGGAGGCTCGGAGTGATTTGCTGCCTCTCTCCCTCTCTTCGGGCATCCCGTCTGACACGGGCCCGTCCTCGAATGTTCTCCCCCCCTTTCCAACACAGACGCCCCCTGTACACTTGTCCTCTCTCTCACCTACCCCGATCCACGTGGCTCCCTCTCTCTCCCCAGTACACGCATCCAAAAATTTGAGATTGGAATGTAGAGGTTGTCTACTTCGATCCACAAAGTTCTGGGAATAAGACTGGGATCCAAAACTTCCACCAAGACTCATATTGAACGCAAGGGAAAGGTGTCAACTGAAATCCAATGCATCGAAATGAGGGATCCACAAGCAGCCACAAGGCGTCGAAAAGTTTCAGGTGTCCACGCTAGGAGAGGGATGTGGGTGAAGTTATCCACACCCTTTGTTTCCTAAATGACCCTTCAAAGGGCGACCATGGCCGAAGGCAGCAAGAGGCTTTGCGGAAGGAGAAGGTATTGGAATCCTGAAGAGAGAGTTGGGCGCAACTCGAAGAGGGAAAGGAGAAAAGGATTTTGCCATTTGCAAGGCGGCTGCAGGTGATGTTGGGTTCCCTCCAGTGTTTTTGTGCGGCCCTTTCAATTCCTCTAATGTTATGGCGCCCAGACTGGAAAAGACCAATTAAAGACGCAAGCAGCTTGGGCTTCGATTTTTCAATTTCTTCTGGATTAATGAAGATACAAAAAGGGAGGAATCAGGACCTTTTAGAAGTAGGTTTCCTTTGCTCTTGCTGTAGCAATGGGGAGTTGCAGGGGGCAGTAACCGGCTTAGAGGAGGCTACCACCTGAGAGAAAGAGGCCTAAAGAGTGGGGCGAGAGGAGAGAAGGGCGAGAGGAGAGAAGGGTTGTAGTGGGCGAAGATCTTAGGGGAGGAGGGAGAGATGGAGGGGACGGTAGGGTTCTAGGGTAGAGATTGTAGATGTCGGTCCAGCATTTTGGAAGATGGGAGGGGAGAGGACGAGAGCGAGATGGCATAACTCTCTTTTAACCTGAAGCTATTATGGGGGCGGAATGTTGGGCGGACAAAAAACAATATACCCATAGAATGAGTGTAGCGGAGATAAGGATGTTGAGATGGATGAGTGCAAGACAAGAAGGGATAGAATTCAAAATAAATTCATATAGAAAAATTTAAGTGTGGCACCAATAGAAAATAAGATGAAAGATAGTAGACTTAGGTAGGCTGGCCATGTGGGGCGTTGACCTAATACAACACCTGTTCGGAGGTGCGAGTTAGTTCAAGTGGAATGATTGGAAAGGGCTTAATTCCCAGTCCGAAAAGATATGAGGACTAATGGCATCACTGAGGGTATGGTCTTTAATAAGAGCAAAATGGCAGATCATGATTCGTGTAGCCGACCTCAATTAATTGGAAAAAAGCTATGATAATGATGATAAGAGCATGTAAAACTATGACTATAATGATGTGATAGCTCCAGTGAGAGAGTGGTCCAGATGGACTGTGTGGCTCAATCCAAGATGGATTGTTCGGCATCGTTGATGTCGTGACTCACTTGGGTTTTGATGGGCTATGGCCCAATCTGATGTCTAAAAACCCATAGCTTTTGGCCATATGTGCACAACCGAGAAGGGGTTCAATGTGGGGTCATCCCTTGATGAGGTCGGAATTGTACCTAGGATGGTTGGCCAAGGGGACTGGGTGTTACCCATGTGTGCGGTGGTTGACCAGAGAGGATAAGGGCCAAATCCTCATCATTACCATCGCATGGCGTGTGCACTAGATAGCTGGCCGGGAAGTAGCCCTCTGGGTGAGGGTGTGTCGTGTACACGTGCAGAAGAGATGTCTCCCTGCAACACTGTACTGTGTTGGAAGGACCCATGAGGCATTGTGCTAAAATGGGGCCTGGACTTGTCCTCAGGTAGTAACCTGTAATCCAGGGGCTAGGATCGTGTCTCCTTCATTTATTGGTTAACTTTGATAGTCGAAGCATGAACCCCTGCGATGGGCTGTGCTTCATGAGAACTGTTGGGTCAGGTTGAGAGGATGTCAGTGAGATGCGATTTCTAAAAGGAATGAAGTTCACAGTGTGCGTGTGTGTGTGCGTGTGTGCGTGCGTGTGTGTGTGTGATATTCCTGACTGTTTGGATCCAATGCCAATCAAATTCTTTTTAACACACGTTTAAATATATTTTATTTATGTTTTAGATTATTAAAAAAAAATTAGATCTCCCTGGATAATTTATTTTAGTGAAAAAGATTTTTAAATAAGTTAAAACAAATTTTCTAGATTTATTAGTTTCAAAGAGAGAAAAAATATTTATTGATTTCTAAAAATCAGTATTATTAATTTAAAATTATTTGAGGGTATGGGGGCCCATTAAAGCCTTGGGCCCACCACATAGGGCCCACTTGGGGGGGGGGGACACATAGGCCACATATGGTGGGATGCCCCACCTCTGCCTTTCCTTAATGAGTGGCTTGTGAAGCAAGCCTTCCTTTTAAACTATTAGGAAAATATTTCAAATCAAGGTTGATTGTTTTAAACGTGGAAAGTCTAGAAATTGATGAGAATTAAATAAGTAAATATCCACTATTTTTTCGACACAAATATTTGATGGGAATCGAGTTATGGAAACTAACGAACAATGATTCTAGCTCATTCCCTTAATCATGATGGTTGATCTAAGGAATGAAGCGCTAAGATCTCTTCAACCCATAAGTCTCCAAGATCTACAGTCAAGATTAAGTCTCATAATGATGACAAAACCTTAGACCCAAAACCCTAACCTCTACTCTATAAATACTTCCAATGGGTTTCATTCTCTACATGTTGTGAACAAAAGTTGGCCTCTCTCTCCCTAGGCAAGTATGCCTCTCTCTCTCTCTCTCTCTCTCTCTCTCTCTCTCTCGTCGTCG